TTCTCTCTCTCTCTCTGTTCCTCTCTCTCCCTCCCACTCTACCTGAACAAAAAATAGAAAAATGTCCTCAGGTGAGGATAAAAAAAAAATAAATAAATAAAATGTTAAGATAGGTTGGTGTGGCTCAGTGGTTGAGCGTGGACCAATGCACCAAGAGGGCGCTGGTTCAATTCCCAGTCAGGACATATGCCCAGGTTGTGGGCCTGATCCCCAGTGGGGGGCATGCAGGAGGCGGCCAGTTGATGCTCTCTCTCATCGATGTTTCTCTCTCTCTCTTCCTCTCAAAAAAAAAAAAAAAAAAATTTTAATAAAAAAAAAAATAGCCCTGGCCGGTTTGGCTCAGCGGTTGGAGTGTCAGCCTGCGGTCCGGAGAGACCCGGGTTCGGTTCCCGCTAAGGGCGCGTACCTCGGTTGCGGTTTGTCCCCGGCCCTGGTCGGTTGTGCGGGTGGCAGCCACTCGATGTGTCCCTTTCACATCAATGTTTCTCTCTCTCTCTCTGTTCCTCTCTCTCCCTCCCACTCTACCTGAACAAAAAATGGAAAAATGTCCTCAGGTGAGGATAAAAAATAAATAAATAAATAAATAAATAAAATAAAAGGTTAAGATAAACTTTTAGTTGTAAACCTGGGAAGATATCTATGACATCTATGTTTTGCATAGATGTTTTACAAAGTAAAACAAAAACAGTTCCAAGACAACATAGTATTTATCTCCCCTATGCTTTAAAAATGATCAACATTGCCCTAGCCAGTTTGGCTCAGCAGTAGAGCATTGGCCTGCAGACCAATGAGTCCCAGGTTCAATTCCAGCTAAGGGCATGTACCTCAGTTGCAGTTCGTCCCCGGCCCTGGTCAGGATCATGCAGGAGGCAACCAGTTGATGTGTCTCTCTCACGTCGATGTTTCTCGCTCTCTCTCCCTGTTTCACCCTCTCTCCTTACCTAAAGATAAATAGAGCCCTGGCCAGTTTGGCTCAGCGGTTGGAGTGTCGGCCTGCGATACAGAGAGACCTGGGTTCGGTTCCCGCTAAGGGCTTGTACCTCGGTTGCAGTTTGTCCCTGGCCCTGGTTGGTCGTGCGGGTGGCAGCCACTCGATGTGTCCCTTTCACATTGATGTTTCTCTCTCTCTCTCTCTCTCTTCCTCTCTCTCCCTCCCGTTCTATCTGAACAAAAAATGGAAAAGTGTCCTCGGGTGAGGATAAAAAAATAGAAAAATATTCTCAGGTGAGGATTAAAAAAAAAAATCAACATCTATATAAAAATGTCAGAGTTTTAAAGGTACATGTCAAACTGTTAATGATTATCTTGGAAGGGTAGTATTAGATAGAAACTTCCACTTTCTCTATATTGTTGGACTCATATATTATCAGAGAGATATAGACATTAAAATACAACAATGAGGTTAATATCCAGTAGTTATTAGTTAATGACTGGCAGTAATTAATTTAGCAACAAAAGGCAAAGCTAGGAGTTCTATGAGGAAGATTAGGTACATTATCAGAAACAACTGCCATACCTTCAAAATCCCAATGATTTTCTCATTTAACATTCTGAACTAAGGTGGGCTGTCTTGTGGATGAAGGAAATGGAAAGTTTTGAGGTCCCTGACTCATTCAAAACCATTGAAAACATCCATCTACCCTTAGTCACATCATATTGCTGGCCTCTGACCATTAATTAGTAATTTTATACTTAACTAGAGAGGCCTAGGATATCTTAAAAAGGCAAGTTGAAAAAATACAATGGCAAATTATAACACACTAAAGCAGTGTTTTTCCAAAGGGTAGGTTATGATCCATTAATGAGTCATGGAAATAATTTACTAGGGCCCTGACCAGTTTGGCTCAGTGGTAGAGCATCAGCCTGCGGACCAATGAGTCCTGGGTTTGATTCCAGCCAAGGTCATGTACTTCGGTTGCATTTCATCCCCAGCCCTAGCTGGGGTCATGTGGGAGGCAACCGGTTGATGTGTCTCTCTCACATTGATGTTTCTCTCTCTCTACCTAAAGATAAATAGAAAAATATCTTTGGGTGAGGATCAAAAAAAAAAAAAAAAAAAAAATTTACTAGGTTATGATCAACTTAAAAAGAACGGGATTGGATATAATAAATTCAAATAAAATAGAATAGAAAACTATGGGTACCAGGTCTGGATAAAAATATATTTTCTTATGTTGGTTGTGATTAACAAACATGAATGTTACTGCATTATATACTTAAAAGGTATATTCTTATACAAGGGGTCAGGGTTAGAAGAGTCCTTTTTTTTGTTTTATCCTCACCTGAGGACATTTTTCCATTTTTTGTTCAGATAGAGTGGGAAGGAGAGGGAGAGAGAGAGAAACATCGACATGAAAGGGACACATTGAGTGGCCGCCTCCCACATGACCCAACCCGGGCTGGGGATAAACTGCAACCGAGGTACATGCCCCTAGCGGGAATCGAACCCGGGTCCATCTGGACCTCAGGCCGATGCTCTAACCGCTGAGCCAAACCGGCCAGGGCTAAATACGCTTTTATTAATATTTTAGAGAGAAAGAAAGGGAGAGATAGAAATATTGATATGAGAGAATAACATCGATTGGCCTCCCCGCCCCCCCAGCCTGCAACCTGGGCACGTGTCTCGACCAGGAATTGAACCGGGAGCTCTGTCCATGGGATGATACTCAATCAAGTGAGCCACACTGGCTGGGCTATCTTTTGATATTTCAATTTAAGTCAGCATTTTTAATCTCCTATGTATTTGAAAATTACTTTGAAAATTAATATTGGAGAATTAAACTTATTAGACTTTAGAAGTCACAAAACAAGTGAAGATAAGTTTAACTATTTTATGATTTAAATAATGTAAAAATTAGTTCGAGTATCATGTGCTATTTTAATGATGCAGTTTTAAGGCATTTCAAATTTATACTTCCTCTTAGTTTTCCTTTATGGGAGTCCTGTAGAGAACCTTGTGCTATTTTGCTTTAATCCAAATCAGGTTATAATTTATCACAATATTGTTAATACATATTTTGTGGTATTATTTTGACTTTTAAAATAACAGTGCCATCTGGTGGTTATCTGAACGTTTTCCTTTCTCGGTAGGTGTCTAAGAATGTAATTGCGTGTGGATATGCAGTAGCTGGTAACAGATATTTAACTTGTTGAGGAACTGTAAAACTGTTTTCCAAAGTGGCTGTGGCATTTTACATTCCCACCAGTCATGGAAGAAGGCTCCAATTTCTCTACATGCTATCCAACACTTATTTTCCAGCTTTTCTATTATAACCATCCTACCTAGTGGATGTAGAGTGAAATCTCATTTTGGTTTTGATTTGCATTTCCCTAATAACTAATGCTGTTGACCACCTTTAAGTGTACTTGCATTTGTATAACTTCTTTGGAGAAAGGTCTATTCAGATCCTTTGCTCATTTTTTTTTTATTGGGTTGTTCATCTTTTTGTTGCTGAATTAAGAGTTCTTTTTATATTCTGGATACTAGAAGTTACCAGATATTTGATTTGCAAATATTTTCTCCATTCTGTAGGTTGTCTTTTCACTTACTCGAGTGGAGAGTTTTTTCATTTAACAATCCCTATCAATACTCTTTCCGAAACACTTTATATTTAACAGTCTAAAGTACACATTGGCAACTCATTCCTACCACATAGAAAGAGGCCTTGTCTTTTTCATTCTGCTGTATCTCCAGTGACCAGCACATAGCAGGAGGTAATATCTGTTGAATAAGTAAATTCCTCCCGAGGATCTATGTACCATTTCATGGATTGCAAATTCAGATGCCTGTAGGAGACTGGCAAGTGATACAAATGTAAATAGAGCTTCTTGGGGCTTGTAATATGTGGGAGAGCACATAACCCATCTCCTGGCTAGTTTCTGTAATCAGTCCTCATAAAGAACCTCCTCATCCTTCTGTTTTACCGCTACACAATACAAAGCAGTTACTTCATGTCTACCTAAAAATATGCTAGTCTTTAGTTCATTAGGGTAGCTGAGTTACGTCCAAGGTGTACTACCAAAAGCAATACTGGATCCGAATATTAACCTTACTCCAGGACTGAGTTTGGGAATTGCCTTGCTGAGATACCAGTTAAGAGTGAAAAAAAATCAGTTAACTGAATTCTTTGGAGTGACTATTGCAAAGAGCTCTGATCCAGAAGCTGCCCCTAACTTAGTGCTATTTACAGACCCGCGAGGTCACACTGGCTTTAGTCCAAATTCGATGGGAGAGTCTGAACGTAATACTGACTGGCTTCTGGCAGAAAGTATCTGCGAGGAAAAGGGCAGCCTCCGCCCAGTACGGCTCAGTGGTTGAGCATGGACCCATGCACCAAGAAGTCGTAGGTTCGATTTCCGGTCAGGGCACATGCCCAAGTTGTGGGCCAAATTCCCAGTGGGGGACATGCGCGAGGTGGCCAGTCGATGTTCTCTCTCATCCATGTTTCTATCTCTCCCTGTCCCTTCCTCCTCTCTAAAATCAATAAAAGAAAAAATAAAATAAAATAAAAGGTCAGCCTCGGAAGGACAGCATGCAGCCAGACTGGCGCCCAGGTTTGGGAGGGGAAGGAAAGAAGACCCAGAGTCACAGCATTCCCGGGGCAGTCTGCTGAGCAGCCGCACCCTAGCCCTCAAGGTCCCTAAAGCACGACTCAAACGGACGCCTCCCGGCAAAGGAACGCAGAGCTGGGACGAGTAACCCTTTACAGGCTGGGAAAAGGCGTACGTAGGGGCTGACGCGCACAGCAATCTAAGTGCCCAGGGGAAACCAATTGTCACTATTGAGACCGCGAGAGGGGCGGGGCAGAGTACTCTCACACAGTGCTTGCGCGAGGAGCCTGTCGAAGGCCAGGCCAGGGAGGCGGTAACTAGCGCCGAGCGTTGGGACGGCCACAGCGTGCGCAGGCGCGCTCAGCAACCTCCGGCTTATAGCGCCCACTCCCCGCAGACCTCGGGGCGGGGCCTCGGGGGCGGGGTCTGGGGCGGGACTAAATGAGGAGGGAACAACCTCTCACTGTCCTCCCGCTGCCATTGCTGTCGCCTCCGATACTGAACTACGAGAGTCATGTTACCCAATACCGGGTAAGGAGATGGGGGAGCCTCGGGGAAAGATCGGGCCGTGGGGGCTGCGCCCGAATGGATGGTCCCAGGGGCCCGGCGGCGGCGGTAGGAGGGTTAATAAAGCTGCCCGACGCGCTCCGGAATGCTGGACCGCGCTGGACGCAGTGTTGCTAGAATTGGGATAACACGGGAAAAGTAACCCGCAGTTGGGTATATCAGGGTGAGAGCCATATTAAAAACCTATTCTACAGCTAAAGGATCCAGAGTGAGCTACACCGCTGCCCTTAGGGCCGGCCTCATCTTGACTTGGGCAGTAACTACGCGTCTTGCTCAAGGCATGCAAGTTCTAGGTGAAAGGTCACTGGAACATTTGTGCACCTAATGAGTGTCCTCATGTTCTGAATGCTCAATTCTGGAATAATAAAATAATTAAGTATTTAAAAAGTGATTTTCAAATTAGTAATAAATAAAACTAATCTTAAAGTATAGGTATCTTTGGGGGGGGATTTTATTTTCCACTTTTAATTATGGTAAAATAGACAATAAAATTTGCCATTTTGACCATTTTTAAGTGTATAGTTTAGGTGTTAAGTATATTCACATTGTTGTGCAACCGATCTTTAGAACTTTTTCAACCTAGAAAAATCTATACTCGTTAACCAACTCTTTTCCCTTTACCCTCAGCGCCTGGCAACTACCATTCTACTTTGTTTCTATAAAGTATGGGTGTATTGAGCTGAGTGGCATGTCCATTACGTAATTTGCTTCAAACATGCAAGCACATAGCCAAAAGATTTAAACAGCTCAAAAGGGTGTCAGAAGTAAGTTTTGTCATCCTTAATTAGCTGTCTTTCATTTTTCCAAAGATATTCTGTGCATTTATAGATATATTTTGTATATCACCCTAAATAATCAAGCACAAATTTTTTAACTTATCTTTATTGTTGAATGTATTACAGATGTCCCCCCTTTTTTTCCACATTAACCCCCTCCTCCCCAATCCCACCCCCCTCCTGCCTTCCCCACACTATTTTCAGTGTCCATTGGTTAAGCATATATGCATAGAAGTTCTTTGGTTTATCTCAACCCACCCTCCCTTCTCCCTTCCCTTTGAGGTTCATCACTCTAACAACCAATTTGTACTTCTTTTTTTTTTATCCTCACCCGAGGATATTTTTCCATTTTTTGTTCAGATTGAGTGGGAAGGAGAGAGAGAAGGAGAGAGAGAGAGAGAGAGAGAGAGAGAGAGAGAGAGAGAGAGGTGAAAGGGACACATCAAGTGGCTGCCTCCTGCACGAGCCCAACCAGGGCCGGGGACAAACTGCAACCAATGTAGGTGCCCTTAGCGAGAACCGAACCCTGGTCTCTCTGGACCACAGACCAATGCTCTTAACCTCTGAGCCAGACCTGCCAGGGCCAATTTGTACTTCTTAATTCCTTCTTCATCTTTTTCATCTGTCCACCCAACCCCCACCCTTCTGGCAAGCAACAAAATCTTCTTAGTGTCTATGAGTCTGTTTCTGTTCTGCTTGCTCATTTTTGTTTGTAGATTCAATTGTTGATAGATACATATTAATTGCCATTTTATTGTCCATATATATTTTTTTTATCCTCACCCGAGGACATTTTCCATTTATTTTTGTTCAGATAGAGTGGGAGGGAGAGAGAGGAAGAGAAACATCGACATGAAAGGGACACGTTGAGTGGCTGCCACCTGCACCCAACCAGGGCTGGGGGACAAACTGCAACCGAGGTACATGTCCTTAGCAGGAACCAAACCTGGGTCTCTCGGGACTGCAGATCTATGCTCTAACTGCTGAGCTAAACTGGCCAGGGCTGTTCATATTTTTGTTCTTCTCCTTCAAGAATACTGGTTTGGTGGTGATGAACCCCTTTAGCTTTTTCGTGTCTGGGAAACTCTTGATATGTCAATCGATTCTAAGTGATAGCTTTGCAGGATAGAGTAATCTTGGTTGTAGGTTGTTGCTTTTCATCACCTTGAATATCTCTTGCCACTCCTTTCTGGCCTGCAAAGTTTCTTTTGAGAAATCAGCTGACAGTCTTATGGGAGCTCCTTTGTAGGTTACAGACTGCTTTTCTCTTGCTTCTTTTCAGATTCTCTCTTTGTCTTTAACCTTTGGCATTTTGATAATGATGTGTCTTGGTGTGGACCTCTTTGGCTTTATCCTGTTTGGGACTCTCTGTGCTTCCTGTACTTGTATGTCTGTTTCCTTCACCAAGTTAAGGAAGTTTTCTGAGATATTTTTAAATAGGTTTTCAATTTCTTCCTCTCTCTCTTCTCCTTCTGGCACCCCCATGATACAAATGTTGGTATGCTTGAAGATGTGCTAGAGGCTTCTTATACTGTCCTCATCTTTTTGGATTCTTTTTTCTTTTTGCTGTTCTGATTGGGTGTTTTTTGCTTCCTTATATTCCAAAAGATGGTTTGCTTCTTGGCTTTACCTACTCTACTATTGATCCCCTCTAAATTATTCTTTATTTTAGTTAGTGCATCTTTCATTTCTGACTGGTCCTTTTTTATGTTGATGTTCTCACTAAGTTCCTTGAATGTCTCACTAAATTCTTTGAGCATCCTTATAATGAGTGTTTTGAACTCTGCATCTGATTGATTGCTTATCTCCATTTTGTCCTGGAGTTTTATTCTTTTCTTTCATTTGGGACATGTTTCTTTGTCTCTTCATTTTGGTTGCTTCCCTGTGTTTGTTTCTATGTATTAGGTAGAGTTGCTATGTCTTCTAGGCTTCGTAGGGTGGCCTATTGTTGTAGGTGTCCTGTAGGATCCAATGGCACAGACTCCCTGATCTCCCCAGCTGGGCCCTCGAGGTGTACCCCTAGTGTGGACTGTACACCCTTCTGTTGTAATTGAGTCTTGATTGCTGTTGGCAAGTCAATGTGAGGGTTTTACTCAGGCTGATCAGCTGCAAGGACTGGTTGTGCCCACTGACCACTGGCCTCTGACTCCCTTGGAGGATCAGCTGTGTAGCGGCCCACCACACAGAGCAAGACTTACTTCAGGGCTCTGGTACCCACTGAGTCAATTCACTGAGTGTGTCACTTGTGGAGATGGTTGGGTGGTGCTGTTTCCATGTGGTCTGAAGTTGTCCACTGGGTGTGCTGTGTCTGCAGCAAGGTCAGCCACTGCTTGTGTTCTGTCCCGGGCCACCAGGCATAAGCTACAAAGTGATCTGCCAATGGCTGCTTCTTGTGCTGGGCTTGGGGGTGCCCAAGAAAAGCCAAGTTGTGAACCAAGTCTGGCTGCTTCTAGTGCCAGGCCTGGGGCCACTTAACGAGTGGTATGGGGCTCACTGAGACCAGATGCTGCTTGTTTGAGAGATTTTAGGAAAATGAGAAGCAGGATCCAAGACAGGCCAATCCTATGCTAAAGCCTTTGGAAACAGCTTGGGTGGGCCCGAAAGTTGGATGGGGCAGGGCCTTAGGGAATCACCAGGGTAGGGCCAACTGAGTCAGGTTGCTGGAGTCCCAGATATGGTGGCCATCTGCTGCCCTGGGGAAGGACTCACCAAAAGAATAATGGCCTCTGCCAGCACGTCTGACTGAGAGAAAGCCGCCTCTCCAGCCCTGGTTCCAAGGCCAGACAAATCAGTTTTTCTCTGTATGTCTTTGGTGCCTTTCAAGGTGCTTCCCCTCCAAGCTTAGAGGCAGCAAGGCTAAGTACGGGCGTGGGCTCTTTAAGAGGAGCGGCCTGGGGCTCCAGCAGCCTCAGCCTCCCTCAGCCTCAGTTCCCACTGGTTTTTCCAGCCAGAAGTTATGGGGACTTCTCTTCCTGGCACTGGAATCCTGAGCAGGGAGCCTGGTGTGGGACCCCTTGCTTCTCAGGAAGGACCTTCCCAGCCGAGGTATCCTCCTGACTTTTATCCACCACACGTGGGTGTGGGACAGCCCGTCACTGCCTCCACCCCTTCTACCAGTCTCCATTTGGCTGCTTCTTTAATTTCATAGTTGTCAGACTTCCATTCAGCTCAATTTCAGGGGGTTGTGCTGTAGTTTAGTTGTAATTTTTTTTTTTATCCTCACCTGGGGATATTTTTGCATATATCTTCAGATATAGCAGGTGGGGTGGGGGGGGACATCAATATGAGAGATACACATTGAGTGGTTGCCACTTACACGACCCCAACTGGGGCCAGGGACAAACTGCAACCGAGGTACGTGCCCTTAGCAGGAACCAAACCCGAGACTCTATGGTTCACGGGCTGATGCTCTAACCACTGAGCCAAACCAGCCAGGGTTGGTTGTAATTTTGATGTGCTTGTGGGAGGAGGCAAGTACTGCATTTACCCTACACTGCCATCTTGACCAGAAGTCCACACACACACATTTTTAAGAAACTTATTAAATTTATTGGGGTGACTTTAGTTAATAAGATTATATATGTTTCGAGTATACTATTCTATAGTATATTCTCTGTATATTACATCGCACACACCACTTTTAATAGTAGCAAACTCTCTTTTGGACCTTGCTATTTGTACCTAATATGTCTTAGGACACACATTTTCAGTACATGGAGCTCTTTCCTTTTAATGATTACATAATATTCTATTGATGTACCATGATTTATTTAACCTGCACCTTGTCATTGGAATACCAGATCATTTTTAGTTGTTACAGCATCTTTGCTGCAATGATTATCCACGTATTCACCTGTTTGCATATATTTGAGTGTATCTATATGATAAATTATTGGAAGTGATGTTGCTAAATCAAAGAACATATACACTACTTTTTTTTATTAATTAATTTATTTTTGTTACAGGTGTTTTTGTTATGGATGTTACAGATGTTCATTTTACCCCCATCGACACCCTCCTCCTGCTCCCGCTCCTCCCCCACCCCAGCATTGTTGTCTGTGTCCACTGGTTATGTATATATGCATATAAGTTCTTTAGTTTATCTCTTCCCTCCCGCCCGCCCGCCTCCTCTGAGGTTTGTCAGTCTGAACCCTACTTCTATGTCTTGGGGTCTATTTTGTTCATCAC